CGACTGCTTAGCAAATTCACGAAGAATTTCGCGGACGTCGCAGCTTTTGGCCTTCAAAAATCGCATTAACTGGGGACCCCGATGGATGTTTGCAACGTTCTGATTCACCCAGGGCAACTACTTTTGTGCGGTCGTGTTTTGCCTTTCAGTCCAAATAGTAACCGAGGTTTTAGTTTGCCTCGCGCCTTTCCTGCCTCCAGTCCGTAATTGGCATGGTCTGAAAAATTATTTGTTAATTATTCTACTTGGCAACTGTTTAGGAATGGCCTCCACATCCTCTAAGTGGGAATCTCCGGCTAAAACGTACATATTTCGACATGTAGAGCAGCAGTGCTAGCCATCAAGAGGTTGACGCTTGTATTCCAAACAGCGTCATAAATCAGAGTTATCTGCTCACCAAATTGCGTAGAAACCAGCGAAAATACCTTTGTTAGTACTTATACGGCTAGCCGTGAATAAATTTTTCCCGTTCCAAACTGTCAAAAGCCATCGTTACTCCGATAGCACGTTTGCTATCCCTGTTTATCTGGGCGTTTCTAAATGGTTATATTCTGCACGTTTCATTCAGAGAGAAATTATACATGTCGCACTACAATGAACAGAAAGTTGCGAGGATATGTGGTTTATTGACCACCTATGTCAAACTGAACACAGACAACATTATCGGAAACATTCACACAAAAACCACCACTCTTCAGTCATGGGTTGTGTATGAAAGGGTGTTAGAATACGCCAACACACCTGAAATTTTAGCAACAAAGAGGAACCTCCAGGTGGATCACAGCAAACGGCGTCCTCGGATTTCAACACTTACCCCTAGTAGTCGCCCATACAATCTTCGCAACTCGTCTCTAATTATACCTCTTCCAGCGTCCTCCACCTCTAAGCGCTCCCTTTTTTCGCTTCCAGGGATACTTTCCTCTGGAATAACCTTCCAATAAATATAAGATCTTCAGAAAATCTACACACCTTTAAGAGAAGGCTACGCCTTTACCTGAATACTGACTCGATTAAACTTTTATTTTCCTCATCCTTCCCAGACAACTTTTTCTATGACACTGAGAAAGGGCCACCGGGAATTTAGCATGCCGCTATTAAATTTCCGTATCTGTTCACGTTTCCTTCCTTTATGAGTAGTCTCGCTACCTAAGATCCCTCACCAGAAATGTTAATTATTCCAATTTTTTAGTTCATGCATCGTGCCCTCACAGAATGCGCGTCATCGACGCTCTTGGCGAAACCTTCTGTATTCGCCATATACTAGTAGTCTGGTCGCATCTCCCTTCCCCCATGTTCGGATGGACTCGGTTGAATGTAACCGACCGCATCTGGGTTCCTATCGCCTCGGGACTGATCTTCATGATGCCCTCACTGAATGCGCTCCATCGATGCTCTTGGCGAAGCCTTCTATATTCGCCATATACTAGTAATCTGGTCTCATCTCCTTTGCCCTATCCTCGGATGGACTCTGATGAATGTAACAGACCGCATCTGGGTTCTTGTCGCCTCGAGACTGGTTGTCATCGTGCCCTTACAGAATGCGCTCCATCGGCGGTCTTGACAAAGCCTTCTATATTCGCCATATACAAGTAGACTGGTCGCATCTCCCTTCCCCCATGTTCGGATGGACTCGGTTGAATGAAACCGACCGCATCTGGGTTCCTATCGGCTTGAGACTGGTTTTCAATTTCGGCACTTATTTTTCTTATTCAAGACGATACAGGCCAGTCCTGACCGACCCGCCTACGTACCATTTTATGAAATCCGTTACACAATGCCATATACAGCTGACATTTATTTCGGTCATGTTGATGTCGGACTATATTCCATTCTGTACCGCCACATGCAGGCCAGTCTTCCCTGTTTTTTTCTGATGCTATTTTTCTGAGGGTTTTTTTTTCTCCTGTTAAATTACTACAATCATTTTTAAATTTTGCTTTGGAGTTTTTTGTTCACCCCTCGTTTTTTCATTTTCATTTTGCTTAACGGACTTCTAATCTCAAAAACTATGCATTGCACTTTGTGCAGATTTTGCCTACATCGTCTAAAATTTGCATGTAAATTTATTTTTACTTGCTTTGATGGGACCCCGACGGGTCTTTAATAAAAAAATAATTGAATTGAAATTGAACACAAAGGTATAAGCAACTTCTTGTTGGCGTCTATACAAAAAAACCGGTGCTGTGAGATTCACAGTGGCGTAATGGTAACAGGGGTGCAGGGGTGTCAGCGGTGGGTTCACGTAATGGTCGTGGTGGTCGCTCACATGCTTGCAGGTGAGACTGCGCCTAGCGTCCACTTGCTGACACTCAACTCTCACTTGTGGCTCCACGTAGCTGGACTCTGCTCAGCGGCCACACCCCGGGAAACCGTCTCGACCGGCAGGCTAAACCAGGTGAGGGGGCCCTGTGCGCTGTGCCGTGTGCACAGTGTTTGCGGATTCCGCTGGATGGAAGGTCGGATGGAACCTTGCGTCGGCACCGTCGTGACGTGGTTCGTCTCTGCACGCCGCTGGACAGCCGGTGACGGGATGGATCTCCACATCGACATCGCCTTGACGCGCCCACCTACGCCGTCGGAGACCGCGGCTTTCGGCGAATTCGAGTCGCTCTCCACTACAACCCGAAGTCGTGGTCCCATAGTGGAGTTCGGCCGTGCCACAACGGCACATGGCAGCCCTATTCAGGGATGGCACTGCGAGCCCCCACGAGGGAAAGGGCCTAGAAAAGGTGGCCTAAACATTGCTGGGTACCACGCCGTCTCCAGGCTAGCCAGGGCCGCAGACGTCTAAACATGGTCGAAACAATCAAAATCGAAACAACAACAATACCAATAACAACAACAACCATACTCATTCTCCTCATCCTACCTCTTCTTCCTCTTCCTCCGCCTATTCTTCTGCCTATTCTTCTCCTTCGTCACCTTCTCCATCTCCTTCCCGTCGCCCCACTCGCTGTCACCAGACTGGCAGGGTGAGCCCGCTCACTCTGGCAGCCTGGAATGTTCGTTCCCTTTTAGACAATCCGAGGAGCAACCGACCGGAACGGAGGACGGCGCTAGTGGCACGAGAACTGGCGCGCTACAAGGTGGACATCGCCGCACTCAGCGAGACCCGATTCTCCGAACAAGGCCAACTGGAGGAGGTGGGTGCCGGCTACACCTTCTTCTGGAGCGGTCGACCCAGGGCAGAGCGACGGGACACGGGTGTCGCCTTCGCCATCCGGAACGACATCGTGGGACGACTGCCCTGTTTGCCGCAGGGCATCAACGATCGCCTGATGAGCCTCCGCCTGCCTCTCTGGGGAGGCAAATTCGCCACCATCATCAGCGCCTACGCTCCGACCATGACCAACCCCGACGCCGTCAGAGACAAATTCTACGAGGACCTGCACGCCCTCTTGGCGACTGTGTCGAAGGCGGACAAGTTGATTGTCCTTGGTGACTTCAACGCCCGCGTCGGCACAGACCATACTGCCTGGAGAGGAGTGCTGGGTCCCCACGGTCTCCGCGGCTCAAACGAAAATGGTCTGCTGCTTCTCCGCACCTGCGCAGAACACCGCCTCATGCTGACGAACACGTTTTTCTGTCTGCCGGAGCGAGAGAAGGCCACCTGGAGGCATCCTCGGTCGCGTCAGTGGCACCTGCTGGACTATGTCCTCGTCCGGAGGCGAGATCAGCGGGACGTGCTGGTGACGAAGGCGATCGCGGGTGCTGACGGGTGGACCGACCATCGCCTCGTCATCTCGAAGAGGCGTGTTCGCCAACAGCCTCGCAGGAGACCACAAGGTAAGTGATCCCCAGGTAAGCTGAATGTTGCCTTGTTGTCTTTGCCTGCTCACCATCTTCATTTCAGCAATGAGCTAGCTCAAAGGCTAGACAACCTTCCTATCGCTGCCGCCGACGACGCCGCCGCTGCCGAGAACGCCTCCGTGGAGAACCGCTGATGTCAACTGCGAGACACGGTCCAGTCGACGGCGCTCGCCGTCCTCGGTCGCGCTCCCCGCCAACACCAGGACTGGTTCGACGACAACGACGCCGCCATCAGAAATCTGCTAGCTGAGAAGAACCGCCTACACAAAGCCTACGTAGATCACCCCACTGGGGACAACAAAGCTGCCTTCTACCGCAGTCGCCGCCAACTTCAGCAACGACTGCGCGAGATGCAGGACGCCTGGACTGCTCGCAAAGCTGAGGAGATCCAAGGCTACGCGGACCGCAACGAATGGAAGAACTTCTTCTCTGCGATCAAAGCTGTTTACGGTCCGCCGACGAAGGGTACTTCTCCTCCCCTCAGCGCCGACGGCAACACTGTCCTGACCGAGAAGACGCAAATCCTGCAGCGATGGGCCGAGCATTTTCGAGGCGTCCTCAACCGCCCCTCCGTCATCTCCGACGCCGCCATCGAGCGTTTGCCGCAAGTGAAGACCAACGTGGACCTCGACCTCCCGCCATCTCTCCAGGAGACCATCAGGGGCGTGCAGCAGCTCTCCAGCGGGAAAGCACCCGGATCGGACGCAATCCCTGCTGAGGTCTACAAGCACGGAGGTCCCCAACTGATGGATCACCTGACTGCGCTCTTCCAAGAGATGTGGCGTCAAGGTGAAGTCCCGCAAGATTTCAAAGACGCGACCATCGTGCATCTCTACAAGCGCAAAGGGAATCGCCAAGTCTGCGACAACCACCGCGGCATCTCCCTGCTGAACATCGCCGGGAAGATCTTCGCCCGCATCCTTCTCAACCGCCTCAATAACTATCTGGAACAGGGCCTTCTGCCGGAAAGCCAATGCGGCTTCCGTCGTCATCGTGGAACCACGGATATGATCTTCGCCGCCCGTCAACTTCAGGAGAAGTGTCAGGAGATGCGGACCCACCTGTACTCTACCTTCGTGGACCTGACGAAAGCCTTCGACACGGTGAATCGTGAAGGACTGTGGAAGATCATGCAGAAATTCGGCTGTCCGGAGCGATTCACTCAGATGGTGCGTTAGCTGCACGACGGTATGATGGCGCGAGTCACGGACAACGGAGCTGTCTCAGAGGCATTCGCAGTGACCAATGGAGTGAAGCAGGGCTGCGTACTGGCGCCTACCCTCTTCAGTCTTATGTTCTCTGCCATGCTGATGGACGCCTACCGCGACGAACGCCCCGGGATCCGCATCGCCTACAGGACGGACGGTCACCTCCTGAATCAACGGCGTATGCACTTCCAATCGCGCGTATCAACAACCACCGTTCACGAACTCCTCTTCGCCGACGACTGCGCCCTGAACACCACCTCGGAAGAGGAGACGCAACGGACCATGGGCCTGTTCTCCGCCGCCTGCGAGAACTTCGGTCTGGTCATTAACACGCAGAAGACAGTGGTGATGCACCAACCTCCGCCCAACTCAGCCACAGCCCCCAACGCGCCGCCGCAAATCAGCGTGAACGGAACCCAACTGCAAGTGGTGGAGAACTTCCCGTACCTGGGCAGTACTCTCTCCCGCAACACCAAGATCGACGACGAAGTCGCCAACAGGATCTCGAAAGCCAGTCAAGCCTTCGGTCGCCTTAAAAGCACAGTTTGGAATCGCCACGGTCCTCAGCTCAGCACCAAGCTGAAGATGTACAAGGCCGTCATCCTGCCGACACTACTGTATGGAGCGGAGACTTGGACGGTGTACGCAAAGCAGGCACGTCGTTTGAACCACTTCCACCTCAGTTGTCTTCGTCGCATCCTGAGGCTGAAGTGGCAGGATCGAATCCCCGACACTGATGTGCTGGAACGGACGGGAATCCTCAGCATCTACGCCATACTGAGGCAAATTCAGCTGCGCTGGAGCGGCCACCTGGTGAGCATGGATGACGAGCGACTACCCAAACGACTCTTCTACGGAGACGTCGCGACGGGTTCTCGACGTCAAGGAGGCCAGATTCGCCGTTACAAGGATACCCTGAAGTCCTCCCTGAAATGCCTGTAAATCAACCCGACCAACTGGGAGGAGCTCGCACTCGATCGACCGACCTGGAGGAGGACAGTGAGGACAGGCGCTGCGATATACGAAGACAATCGCATCGCTGCCGCCAAAGCGAAACGTGAAACCCGCAAATCACAACTTCGCCCAGTAAGCAACGCCGCCGCACAACCGCTTCCAACGTGTCCTCGATGTCAACGGACATTCCGGGCTCGAATCGGACTTGTTGGACATCTTCGGATTAACTGCGCCTCTCGAACGGCACCAACCATCGCCCCCCCCCGCCTGCCTCTTCCTCCTCCTCCTCTCCGCCGCCAACTAACCCTGACAATTCTTCTGACCCACCACTTCCATCATCCTCCTCCTACTCCTCCTCCTCCTCCTCCTCCTCCTCCTCCTCATCCTCCTTGCCCACTGCTCCAACGGCGGCCGCTCAGGCGACTGTCCCGCGCACAACAACCGACACTACCACCACCACCCCCGACTCCAGGGATGAGGATCAGGACTACACCTGCCCTCACTGCGACCGTACCTTCACCTCACACATCGGCCTGGTCGGTCACTTGCGAATCCATCGCACAGAGACTGGCGAACCAGTGCCTGAAGCACCAGCCTACGCCCACCGCACTCGCCTCCACTGCCCACACTGCCCTCGCACCTTCAGGCATCGCATGGGCCTTTTCGGCCACATGCGCATCCACGATAGCGGCCTTGACCGCACTCCCGACACACCCACCACATCCAACACATCCACCGTGCACACCCCCACCCTCGTTCCATCCGTCCGCGCCACCACCACCACCACCACCGCCTACTCTGTAGCTGACACTGACACCGCCGACTTCTCATGCCCACACTGTCCACGCACATTCACCTCACGCATCGGCCTGGTCGGTCACTTGCGAATCCATCGCACAGAGACTGGCGAACCAGTGCCTGGAGCACCCACCTATACCCATCAAGCTCGTCTCAACTGCCCACTCTGCCCTCGCACTTTCAGGCATCGCATGGGCCTATTCGGCCACATGCGCATCCACGACGACCTGCGGTAGACAACCGCCGGCCACACCACACATTCACTCACTCACTCCCTACCTCCTCCACCACCACCATAACCCCATCAGAAATCAACACTCACACACCTCATGCACCCAACTGCCACCTCCCACGCAAGTGGGAAGTCCACATCTCGACTCGGTCCCCATGCGGCTTCGGCTGCACGGGTGACTTGAGTACGAGACTATCCCGACACGTCAAGCGTCGTGGACAGGAAGGTTGCTGATTGACGCCTGTTCTCGGTTCACGCAGTTCGTCGCGTTGTGTGTGATGCGTGGAGTGGCGGACTGGTGGGCTGGGGACGGGCTGAAACAGCACCTTCCACGGCACTCTCACGCAAGTGAGAGACAAGCCGTTCAACCCCGTTGTGTAAAATCCTGGTGTTGTGTGTATGGGGGGCCAGGTCGTGCCGTGGCGCGCGCAGTCATGGTCATTCGACCATGACAGCCACCGCGCCCATTCTTCACTCCAATCTGCTGACCGGCTCGGACAGCGGCTGGGGTGTGGGAGTGGGAAGGGAGAGTGAGGTCGACGACTCAGCGCACTTTCTCCTCACTATAAACAATCTGACGCGCTTGAAACTATCACGGTGCGCTAAAAGCCGTGGCTTGGAAGGTTGCCAACTGACGGAGTAACTTGGACCTCCTCCTTGACCGGAGGCGGTCTGAGAGTCAGGCTGCAATGGCTCCTTTTTAATGTGGCCTTTATGGCACTCCGATCACAGTGTGGGATCCGAGCCAGGCGTTGGCGGCACGCCCAGGTGCGGCTTCGGCCGTGCCAGCCTCCAAATCTATGTTGTGTTGGTTGAAATCCTGGTTATTGTTGTGTGGACCAGGGGGTGTGGTGGAACGCCAAGGTGAGGATCCGTCCGAGCCATCCACCTGCGGCCTCCCTCGTCTCCGGTCTTCTTGACTCTGTCTTGACGCCGGGCTTGGGCGAGGGAGGAGGAGAGAGTGTAGGCAGATGCTACGCAAGTCTACCGGCACTATAAACCCCTGCGTAAGTCACCGTCCCTGCTCCCATTGCTGCTGCAACTGTGGGACACACGGTGGACATCATCGAAAACGATGGTCGAACTGTCAATGACAACAATATAATGAAATAAGTGAGGTGATGTTCTTTTGAGGATAACTTGCGGTAGAAGTTCAGATCAGTTTCTACAATAAGCCGGCTTCTTGAAGTCAAACACCAGGACGACTGCTCGTCGGGTAGAGGGCTGCTATGTGGTGCGAGAATGTCTGCCAGCGCTGCAGAATTGCGATACCGGTAAGCTTATATCAGAGGCGCTACTGCACATCCCTTAGGTGTGCCCACAGACTTCTTCCCCTTAGGGAGCCACTTTTCGAAGATAATGTTGGACAGCAAGTAGGCTATCGAGGATACGATGATAGCAGTATCCCACAGTTACAAACTAGTAAATAAGAACAAAGTCGTCAGCAAGTAAAATGCACGTGCTTGTTCTATGCCTTATTCAAAATTGTGTCAAGTTTTTTTTAAAACGCGCATTGTAACTAACTAAAAACGGACTTAAATGTCACTACAATACTCCGTCCTCCTAGGAGAACGGAGTTCAAGAAAATTATTGTTAATAGAAGGAAAAGGTGGGAGTGTTATGCATATTGTACAGGTTGGTAACGGTCGGGAAAATGGACATGATGACCGCTGCGCTTAAGGGGGAGTCTGTGGGATAAGTGAAAACGCAGAGTTATAGGGCGTAAGTTGGGTCTGGGAAATAGCAAATAGCTATGTGCCGGTCGTTCGGTTGGGGAGGTTGAAAGAGGCTCGGTATAAGCCGCCTTCCAGAGATCGACTGGGCCCACGTCGATGCGACCTACATAGGTAATTGTAAAATGCTTATAATTGCGAGATAGTACTCGAAATGGACCGTCTCAGGGTTGTTATAGTGGTCAATGAACGTTATCTACGCGGACAAATACAGACGAACCAGACGATGTACCACTTACTTGTTGGAGCACGTGGAGGAGTGGCTCGAAGATGAGTCATGGCTTGACGCAATCTTTGCACATAATCGTTGGAATCCAGGTTGGCTGAGCTTTCAGAGTGCCCGAAAAAATCACCGGGAATCCGTAGGGTAGTACCATAGATAACTTCGGCAGCGGAACATTTCAATTCGGGCTTGAGTGCAGTACGGATATCGAACGTGACCAAGGGTAAATGATCGCTCCAATGGGAAGGGTTGTCACGAACTCGGAGCGAGACTTTGAGTTTCCGATGGAAACACTCGACTAAGCCGTTGGATGAGGGATGGTATGCTGTTGTGTGTATGCACGAATACCCGAGGAGGTCGGCAAGGCTGTTAAAAAGTCTAGACTCTAATAAGTGGCCTCGACCGGTGGTAATAGTTGATGGACGCCATAATGGGAGATCCAGTGTTCCAAAAAGGCATGAGCACCGGAATCTGCAGTTATGTTAGATATGGGAATTGCAATGGTCCAACGAGTAAATCGGTCAATCGCGGTAAGTAAATAGTTGCAACCAAGAAATGCTGGAAAAGGACCAACCAGATCGACATAAACATGTGCAAAATGTGCGTCAAGTGCGAGAAAAGTGCCAATGGGGGATTTGTTGTGCCGTCCGACTTTGGCCAAACATGAACGGGTCCACTGGCGGATATCAGTGTTCATGCTTAGCAAAACGAAACGCTCGCTGACGAGGCGTTGGGTAGTGCGAATGCCAGGGTGAGCCAGATTGTGCAACGCGGCAAAAACATCTCGTCTCATCTCGCTTGGCACTACGCGTCGGGAGGCACCGCGCGATACGTCACACAAAATTGTACCGGGGGTCGTGGAAAGAGGAATGGCCTTGAACTGAAGACTAGTGTGTTGAAGGCTCTCAGTGAAAGTCGGCTGGTTTTGCAGTTCTGCCATGTGCTCCAAATCGATGGAAGGGCGGGCGATGGCATTAATGTCGGGCCGAGAAAGACAGTCAGCAACATAATTACGAAAATGCTCAATGGCTAAATAAATTGCAAGAAGTTCCCTATCAAAAGTGCTATAGCGAGTTTGTGGGGGTGTCAATTTGGCAGAGTAGAAAGCCAAGGGCTGGGTGCCAGTGGGCGTCTGTTTCTGAAGGGCAGCACCTATAGCGAAATTGGAGGCGTCGGCCGCAATAGAAATGGGACATCAATTATAGGGTGAACAAGGGCAGTTGTATCCGCAAGAGCCTTCCTGGCACGATTGATAGCCTCTACAGCTGTGTCAGAAAAAAACTTGCGGTTGTTTCCGCGCAAAAGTCTTGTAAGTGGAAACATTCATTGAGCACAATGAGGGATAAAACGCCGATAGAAATTGACAAGGCCTATAAAGCGGCGCAGTTGTTGAAAAGAAGTGGGAGTAGAGAAACCACGAATAGCTGAAACTATGGTATCTATGGGATGACAACCAAAAGCGTCTACGCAATGTCCTAGGAAAAACAGCGACTGTACACCGAAAACGCATTTAAAACATTAGTGAAACGCCAAAATGGCTCAATAGTTCAAAAATGAGACGCAAATGTTGTAGGTGTTTGTGTTCACTGGAAGTTGCTACTAGAACATCGTCGACATAGACAAAAAAGTAAGTCGCGGAGGGCTTCGTTGATGAAACGCTGAAAATGTTGAGCGGAGTTGAGTAGCCCAAAAGGCATCCTGACAAACTCGAACAGACCAAACGGTGTTGTAATCGCCGTTTTGAGAACGTCTGCTGGAGCAACGGGCATCTGATGGGAAGCTTTGACTAATTCAGTCGTGGAAAATACTGTTTCTTCGGCTGGGCTAGATGAAAAGTCGTGGAGATGGGGAAATGGATATCCGTCACTCACAGTGCAGGTGTTTGACCGTTGGTAATGCCCGCATGGGCGCCAGTCAACGAGAGACTTTTTACACATCACATGTAGAGGTGCAGCCCGTGGACTAGTGGAAGGCCTGACTATGCCCAGCTCCATCATGCGACTGAATTCAGCTTTGGCTATGGTTAACTTATCAGTAGCTAAACGACGGGGACGGCTAAACACGGGTGGTCCAGTAGTTGAAATATAATGTGCAACAGAATGCTTGATAGGTTGGTTAAATTGTGAGGGTCGTGTGATAGATGGAAATCCCGAAAGTAAACTATTATAGGGAGTAGACGAAGGAATTGTTAAAATGCGTGGATTAGGTGATTAAAGGGTACGAGTGGAACATTTACAGTGTAGACGTGTCTTAGGGTCAAATAGTCTATTAGACTTGATGTCGACAAGAAGTATGAACATTAGCGACAGTAAATATCCAACGAAATGAACGTCTTAGACCTAAATCTAGCATAAGGGACCGTTGACTAAAAGCTTTAATAGAAGTCCTGTTAGCTGCTTGGAGAAAAAACGCAGAGTTTGGTGACTTATGGTCAGTCAAAGTGGGTGGGATTAGACTGGTCTCCGCACCAGTATCCACGAGGAAATTACAACGGAAACTCCTTTCATAGATGTGGAGTAAGCGATGGAGAGAGGATGAGCTGACCACGTTCGTCGCCCTTGCTGGTCAGAATGGAAGTTTTCAAACGCTGGTATCTTGTACTTGCACGGAGAGTGACAGCGATGGGCTTTAGAACCATAATTATGAGGATACCAACAGAAGCCATCAACCGTAGGCTGGTTTGGACTGGGGGATCTCGGGTAGCGAGTACTCGAAGGACTACGACGGTTATAGACACGAGTGGCCCGGAGCTGCGAAACTTCGAGAATGAGGGCATGTAGGCGTTTGAAGACATCGTCGATGGTAGGTGTCGTTAAAACCCGAGTAGAAAAATTTACCGAGGTAGGTGGTTAATAATATTTGAGTATCCGATCAGCTGTTTCAGCCAGTGTTTGAACTGATGAGGAAGGTATATGGGGTGCAAGGATAGCTTGCACTGAGGAGGACATCCACTGGACGAAGAGCTGCTTGAACATGATGTCGTCTAGCTGTTGTCCCTCAGCTAGCTGCTCCAGGCACCGAATGAGCTGAGTTGGCTTCCAATCACCAAGCTCCTCTTCAGAAATAAAACGCTGAAGGCGTTTTTGTGTTGGTAGCGAAAAACGGGAGATTAGGGCCTCCTTTAGTGTAGTATAGGGGTCTCTGTGAGTGGGCTGTCTATAATATCATGGAGGTCCGTTTCAATCTCCAGTGGCAATGCGGCCACGAGATAATGCAATTTATTTCCTCCTTCCTGATTTTACGCAGACCAAAATGAGATTCGACTGTACACAGCCAAAGGACTATGTCACTAAGCTGGAAGGTTGAATGTGAGAATGCCAGTAATTTGCTGCGCTCAATTATCGCTGGGCATGATTTGGTCAAATGTCAAAAAACTGATGGCCAATTGCGGTCGCTTTTTGGTGGCTTGAAAATGCAGTCCTCTTATTCGTTAAAAACGACCAATTTTGTCGATCGAAAACAAGCTGAAAAAGGGCGCGGTTGCGTGCAAATTGTTAGCAAGTCAATGCAATTGAAAGCGCAAGCATATCGAGGGATCACAATTTGTTGGCCGGTAAGTAGGCTATCCAGGATACGATGATAGCAGTATCCCACAGTTACAAACTAGTAAATAAGAACAAAGCCGTCACCAGGTAAAAAATGCAAGTGCTTGTTCTATGTCTTATTCAAAGTAGTGTCAAGTTTTTCTTAAATGCTTATTGTAAGTAAGTAAAACAAAACGGACTTAAATGTCACAACAATAGCATTTTAACCAACTCCAATATGCTTTAATGACATTTGTATGCCTGCCAGCTGTCAGATCCACGAAGTTCTTCTAGTGTTTTGCTTTGAAATGTATCTCACTGTCGATTGGAGCATAACCCGTTCACTCATCGGTCACAATAGTACCTCTCGGCGTAACCAATTTCCTAACGATGTTGGTCAGGCCTCATTTCGGTCATTCACCCGCTCAAAAACGGCCCTCCTCGATAAGTATTGTAGATACTGACTTTCCGGTCCAGTTGTTTTTTTTTTGGGTCGAATTTGTACTTTCTTCAGCTAACCAACGTTTCGTTTGTCTGGACCTCTCTATCCTCGTCATCCTTTCGGATAACTTCCCATCGAAGGCCGTTAGAGCCTACATTTTTGCATACGACGTATCAGGAGACCCCCTTGTACGAGGTATACCAATCTCATTCGCACACACTGTCACAGACGTGCCCTTGACGAAGTCCAGAAGTTCTTCAGTACCGTCGATATCGGAATTCGAATATTATTAAAGATAAAACGGCTGTACATGAATTTAGGTTTTCAGCATTTGGTCAACGAAATGCAACACCGTCTGCCGATATATATAATATATATCTGTTAGGGGGCGCTCACCGATCGTTCATACGGAACTCACTCGTTCCGTTGTGCCTTATGTACCCTCTCTCGAGCCCAACCAGCAGCCGCGCAGCGGCGCAAGATATATAGGCAGAATGCTATTACCGACAAAGACAAGGGAGACTGGAATGGCCATTTCTGGCTTATTAGCCGTCGTCAGCCAGCCATACCCAAGCCCGAAGTGTGGAACACCCGAGCCTCGAACTCGTTGACTTCTAAACCAACAGGCCGCGAGTTCGAGGCTCGGGTGTTCCACACTTCGGGCTTGGGTATGGCTGGCTGACGACGGCTAATAAGCCAGAAATGGCCATTCCAGTCTCCCTTGTCTTTGTCGATAATACTATTCTGCCTATATATCATGCGCCGCTGTGCGGCTGCTGGTTGGGCTCGAGAGAGAGTCCATAAGGCACAACGGAACGAGTGAGTTCCGTATGAACGATCGGTGAGCGCCCCCTACCACTATATATATATATATATATATATATATATATATATATATTATGACTTTGGGCGCTCGCCGATCAATTTACTGAACATGCTCGTTTCTTTGTGCCTTGGGGCTCATACTAGAACCCTCGCAGGCAGTCGCACAGCGACTAGTGATATATGTTGGAAAGGTAATACCGACAAAGACAAGGGAGACCGGAATGGCCATTTCTGGCTTATTAGCCGTCATCAGCCAGTCATACCCAACCCCAAGTGTGGATCACTTGAGATTCGAACCCGGGATCTTTGGTCATGGAGTTGAACGCTCTACCATTGAGCCACGGGCCCGTTGTCCTGTCGGTTGTGATCGGGAATATTAATTACGATAGTGGGCGCTCACCGATCAGGTTACGGAACATGCTCGTTCCGTTGTGCCTTGGGGCTCATACTTAAACCCTCGCAGGCAGTCGCACAGCGACTAGTAGTTGACATAGATGAGTTGTAGCCGACAAAGACAAGGGAGACCAGAATGGCCATGTTCCGTAACCTGATCGGCGAGCGCCCACTATCATAATTGATATTCCCGATCACAGCCGACAGGACAACGGGCACCGGTCCGTTGTCCTGTCGGCTCAATGGTAGAGCGTCAAACTCCATGACCAAAGATCCCGGGTTCGAATCTCAAGTGATCCACACTTGGGGTTGGGTATGACTGGCTGATGACGGCTAATAAGCCAGATATGGCCATTCCAGTCTCCCTTGTCTTTTTTTCGGCTCAATCTCATCTATATATATATATATATATATATATATATATATATATATATATATATATATATATATATCAGGAATGGGCGCACACCGATCTATTGGCTTCACAAAGCAAACAAGCTCTGTATGTGTGGCAAAGGTCACGAACAGGCAACCAATTACCAGGCCGAAGTCGGCCAAGTCATAATAGCAGCGAGGAGATCGGTGTGCGCCCATTCCTGATTGATAAATACCCGATCTGCAGCGACAGAGAATGACAGGTGGCGAGGCACTGATGAACTTCGGTTCGATGAAGTGCTTATGACCCATCTGGTAGGCCTCAGTGGTGGACCGACTGCGCCAGGTGCGTCTGTGCGCATGTTTGTGTTTCTGGTCTCAGCTGCTGGTGGTCAGGGTTATGATTGGCTGAATGAAGGCAGAATAAGCCCGAAACAGTGCTGTATCAATCTACCCGCATTCTCTGTCGTCCCTCCTCGCTGCTATATATATATATATATATATATATATATGAGTGAGTAAAAGGCTATAAGGGAACTGAGGAGGGACGACAGCATTATCATTCTACCTGCTGACAAGGGACGATCAACTGTCGTGATGAATAGAGAAGACTATAATGAAAAAGCTAAAGTCCTTCTTGATGACAGAGAATGTTACAGACCAGCACAGAAGTCACAAGCCAAAGCAGGGGCAGATCGGCTGAGTAAACTTCTTAGAGAATACCGACATAAAAATGTGGTCACGGGGAATGAATGGTACCAAATGAGTACAACTAACACCGCTCTAGCCCGATTCTATGGTCTGCCAAAAATCCATAAAGCAAATGTCCCACTTCGGCCAATCATTGCCCTAAAAGGCAGCCCCACCTACAATTTGGCAAAGTGGATGTACTCAAAAGTGAAGTTCCTCCAAGGCAATTCGACTACCTCAGTTCGATCAGCCTCTCAATTCCTCATAGACCTCCGAGGTCGGAGAATTCAATAGGACAAAATCATGGTCTCCTTCGATGTGACGTCGTTATTCATATCCATCCCACCAAACGTGGCCCACGAAGTCTTGCGCAAGAGACTTGAAGAGGTGTACGATGAGACTCAGAATGCCCTCAAAATTGAACACCTCATGAGGCTGTTTGAATTCTGCCAACAAACTTTCTTCACTTTTGCGGGAGAGACCTATGAACAAATCAAGGGAGCCCCAATGGGCTCACCGGTCTTCGGTTTGGTGGCAGAACTGGTCCTACAGGAGTTGGAAAAGATTGCCTTCCTCCAACATGAACCGGTGTTTTGGCGACGTTACGTTGACGACACGTTCGTCATCGTAAAGAAGGACATGCTGCAACATTTTCACAGCCTGCTCAACGCAGTCTTCCCGGATATAAAATTCACGAGGGAAGAAGAACAGGAGCAGCAGTTGCCCTTCCTGGATGTGCTCGTCAGACGAAACCTTAACGGTGAACTTGAAACGACGGTTTATAGGAAGGCAACGAACATCACACAGCTTCTCAGTTTTCACAGCAACCATCCGGTGGCTCACAAACAAAGCTGTGTGAAGACACTCTTCAAACGGATCCAAACTCATTGCAGCAAACTGGAAGATAGAGCGCGTGAGGCCCGTTATCTCCGCGACCAGTTTGTGCAAAATGGCTATCCGAGGACATTCATAAGTCGCTGCCTACACGGTCGCCACCAGAGAACTCAAACATCAACGCCACCAACGGTATGGCATTCTCTGCCATACATCAAGGGTGTTTCAGAAGCGACCGAGCGCATTGCTGCGGAGCTAGGGGTTGGAATTGCACACCGCCCCAAAGCCACCATGCGCAACAGGGTCATGAAAATCAAAGACCGGTGAAAACCTGAAGAGCAATCTGGAGTAGTGTATCGCATTCCGTGTCAAAATTGTCCTTGTTACTACACAGGACAGACTGGACGCATGCTCGGATCGCGAATACATGAACATAAGCTGGCTGTGCGGCGAGGCGACGCATTATCACAAGTGGCCCCCCACACCTACGAAATGGGTCACGAGTTTGACTTCGCAGCCACCAAAATAGTCGCCCACGCCGGAAACAAAACAGGCCGAGAATTGATTGAAGCCTGGGCCTCGGATGAGAACTCGGTCAATCGAATTATCGATCTGGCGCCGGCGTACAGAGCCCTTCGTAGTCACCTCCAGTCGTGCGACGTCGGTCGACGATTGGGTCTACGTGCCTTATAACTGCCGCTTGTCCTGTTTCTGCCACTACCTCTGACGATGGACTCCTGTACGAGTCTGAAAGCTCAGGATAATAAACGAATTGTTCCGGTGCTCGACTCTTCTTCTTCTTCAAATATATATAGATATATAAGGGTTTCAGGCGCATTGCGCTTCAACAGGTGAAGCTTATTTGACGTGAAATGATATCCTTCTCTTGGCCATACTCAATGACAAGATGCAGATTACGTATTTCTACATTAGTCCGTTCTATGTGTTTTACCATACTGGAATACTGAAGTTATGGCATGCACACTTAACGGTTAATAGTTTGAATCTTAAAACGTAGGACAACTAGTTATACTAGCCAGTGAGTTACATAGATGACAAGAAAAGCATATCGTTAAGGTAGAGAACGGGAACGACCATGTTCGTACAATCGTGAAGGTACGTTTTTGCTACTCAACTACCCCATATAACAGCCATACCACCAATCTTCTATGGATGATACACTTTGGGATTACTGCTTGAGTCCCCCAAATGTTTGAAAAATTGCTGCTTAACTAATCAGCAAGCTTATTAGCCAGTACGCACTGCATTCTGAGGAAGGGAGCGATCATGCTTTCAAAATGCAAAAAACTTAATTATCCGTGGACCCTTACGTGCGTTGGCTATACCTGCACAATTCTGGGCTAGCCGTTTTACCACCAAACAATAAGGAAAATTAAATTACCTACCTCCTGACGGTTATCAGACCGTCCGTCGTGGAGGTCGAGGATGAAGGGGAAGGAAAAGATAGTGCCCGTTACCTAAAACAATTAGGTTTTTTACATCACAACCAAATATACTGCATCACTTATGCCGCAAAAGAACCAGATCGTCCGTAACCCACTTGTAAGTCCGTCCCCGGTAAGAATTTCCACGTATGCGATATCTTCTCCCTGCCATTTTCAGGCGATCAAGCGGTGAAAACCAGGACTTCAACTTCCTTGTCTTAGGCTGGACGGCATATGCACACAGATAAACTAATTGGTCCGTCCAAAGGCCTACTGTGGCTCAACCTCCAGCTAGAACAGTAGTATTAGGCATGACGTGGCAGTCCACTTAAGCCCTTCTGTAGGGCTGCCACACCATGCCCAAGGTCACTTGTGAGGCGTTTTGATGTAAGAAAACAAAATTTGGCGAAATGTAGTTTTTCAATTATCGCTCACTTTGTACCTTGGCATTTGAACCGTTCCAGAGGTCCCTAACAACCAACCCCAGTTATTATCGTTCCCATAAGAATAAGGTATATGAACTGTTGCAAAATTGTTTTTTTAAAAAAATCAGCCGGAGCCGGTAATGGATAGCAGGTCGGCATCAGCGCGACATGGAGGCCGGTGGAGAAGTTACCACAAATGCGGATCGAGCCAATGACTTCTTAGCCGTAACGATTGGAGCGGCCCAGGCGGAGTATGATACAGGAACTAGAACTTCCCGTTCCTCTAGACGCCGCAGTTCAGCCTCGACAAGTTGTGGGGCTGCATATGGGACTGGTCACTTCGGACGGAAGATTGGTTGACTTCCAGAAGACAGATGTAGCACGGCTTGTGTGTATGTGCAATGACCCAGGTCGTCTTGGAACACTGGAACAAACCGTTGAAGCATGTCCTTGGCTTGGTCTGAGAGCACAGCGGGAGTCTGCACCTGACTACAAACAACGCGGAGCGGCATGTCGGTCAAACCGAGTTGTTCAGTCCAGTCGAGACCAAGTAGGTTGAGGTCAGACTTGGTGGTGTGGCAGTTTGCCCGTCAAAAGCGACTTTTCCCACTGACAAAACTGAGCAGAACTTCTCTTCCTTTGAGAGGCACAAACTGTGGGGACCGAAATATTACAATTCACGTATTACAGGTTGCATTTCGCAGAATTTACCGGGAGTACACATATCCGCGTAAACCGCCAGAAGATAACAAACATGTGAGATAAATTAGCTAAACAGGCATTTGTAATCTTTGCATGACCATTTCCTTAAAAAGCAACTTAACCCCACCTGGAAGTAGAATTATTAAGTAGAATTCCGAAGTGTTCGTCAAGATGCAGCGATCGATGGCTGAAAAATGCCTACATTCGTGCGAGATATTCCATGTTTATTTTATATGCGGAAATAAAGTCAATTTCTACCCTTTCGTGTATTTCTTGATCGTTGGTTGTTTTTTCTTGTGTGCTCGCCCCGCAGTGGTCGCTGTTAAATGTAGTGCAATGCAGTTTTTATTGCCGTTTACATCAGTTAATTTTTCTTCCTGTTCCTGGCGTAAATGATCATGCTTCTTTTTCTTATCCGGCCCAACACCTACCCTAATTTTTCCAGGTCTCTACTCGACGATTTATTGTGTTCATTGGGTTTAACATCTTTGAAAATTTTCGGACAAAGGTGACTACCTATTCTTTAGGCCGCAGACTCGAGGATCCAGAATGTTCGGTGTTGGCGTCCCTGAATCCCAATATTTTGTAACATGTCGCTGCGCATACCTACGTGCCAATTTTTATTCTCAAGTCTTTGTTGAACACGTCCTAGTGCTCACTTTTACTTGCAGTTCTACGGGGTTTCTGGGGAAAAATGAAAACCTGCATCTGACGGAATCACATCGAACGGCTTTGTTTGAATTGACACATTCAGTAAGGGGCGGGCACTTTTTACTGCGCAAGTCGCGTGCGATGGCATCCACAGAGGTGAAGAAACCGGCGACGCCAAAGCTCTCAAAGAAATTCCTCGTCAGGAAGCAGAATGAACGGAAAATCACTTCTGGGAAAAGAATAATTAGTCATAAAAGGTCCCTCAGCAGCCTCACCAAGAAACAGAGGTTGGCCATTAAAAAGCGCGCTGCCCTGCGCAAGGTTGAAAAACCCAAGAACCCCCGATTCGTATGATAACTCTTTTTTGAGGATTTGCTTTAGCCGCGTGCATATGCTATCCAACAAGAAAAGAAGAAACTTAGTCTACGCAAGGTCCAATGCTTCAAAGATCATAAGCGTCACATTCGCTCATCACTGAAGCCGGGCACTGTTCTTATCCTTCTGGCCGGCAAGCACAAGGGCAAACGTGTAGTCTTTCTCAGAGCCCTTGACAGCGGATTACTACTCGTAACTGGTACTTAGGCGCATTCTTTTACCTCCTTAAGGTCCTTTCAAATTTAATGGCGTTCCCCTTCGTCGTGTGAATCAGAGGTATGTCATTGCCACCAAGACGAGGATTAACATCCGCGGTGTCGCCGTGCCGAAGGCCCTAACGGACAAGTTTTTCCGTCGTGTAGACCTCAAGCCGAAAAGCAAGAACGTGGACAAGCTTTTTGCTGAAGAGCCCAAGGTAGTTGTCTCAGCATACCCAGCTTCACCGTTATCACTGTACTTACTCATCTCATCTGGTTTTGTTTTTGAGCCATCGCAATACTGGGTACTAAACTTTATCATAGCCCGAGGCTCCTTCCCATTTAAAAAGGACTGGTTACAGGCCAGCCGGCATGTTGTTGCCTCTGAGCCGGTACTGGATTAAGTATTCTAATTATCACCAAGGTAGTAATGGTTCGTAATCGTTCCTGTGAGAGCCCGTTGGATCGTCCAGGGTTGTTCATACGTTGGACCCTGTGGTCGAAATAGGGCAAGCAGAGACTTTGTTGCAATTAAATATACTTTAGTAGCCAAATTTTCCCATGTGGTGCCTGTAAGAGCTTGTTTCAAACTGGCTTCCTGTCGTTCATTTCAGAAATATTCAGTTTCGGACGAGAGGAAGAAACTCCAAAAGGAGGTGGACCTTTCACTGCTTAAAGCAATCAGAAAGCACAAGTCCTCAAAGATATTGGCGGCTTACCTCAAGTCTATGTTTTCACTGAGCAGAAAGGACTATCCCCACAAAATGGTGTTCTAAGGGAATAAAGTTTGATATTTACTGGCGATTTCGTTTTTGTCATTGACCTTCTCTCGCCCTTTCCACCACCTCGACAGTGTTTTAATTGGGGGGAGGGGGTATGAGCTAGTACAGTTTTAAGGATTTATCGGATACGGCTTAAGGCCCTGTACTGACATGCGAGTCTCGAATCTTATTTCATGCATCCCTTTGCCTCTGTCGTGTCGTGGGCATTCTTTGCAGACGACTGTTTCCGGATTTTGATGGCAGGAACGTCAGCAGCGCCACTCGTATTCCAGCTCTTAGGTGCTGTCCAGTGGGCGCCCTCATTGCTTTCCAGTCCTTACCGTTCTGCTTTTTCTGCAGGAGATAACCTGTCAGGTCTCGTTTGTGTTCTAGTCAGGGATTTGGGTTCGGACTGCGGCCTGGTTGTCTTGTTATCTTAAGTTGCGTATAGTAGCAGTCCTGTCTTCGCCCCAGTCTTTCAGTTGTATGCGACTTTCATTTGCCTAGTTCGCCAACTTTTGTTATTCACTTATAGAAGCATGGAGTGAGACATTCATGCGAAGCTGAGAACTGGGGCCCTCGACACTAGCTTATTTAGTTGATTCGTTGTGAACCAAGCTGCAGAACTGTGCAGCAGCGTGGTTTTCCGTACGTACTTAGGGCTTGTTTATTTTCACCGATCCTCTCCCTCGATCCTTAACTATCGTTCCGTGCCCAGTGACTGTTGTTGTGTCGATTTCGTCGTAGGTATCACATAACTCGAGCTACTTCTGTCTAGACGCGAGCTCCAGTGGAATGTTGTCGCCGTGTATGCTGTTAGCGGTCGACTTGCGTGTTAGAGGGAGGAAGCATTGACTGGGCGGATTTATCCGACCCCCGACTTCGCGGTGAGTTGGGATGCACATCATCAGGAACTGGCGTGTTTTACGCACAGTTGAGGATATAAGGTCTACAGGTTGTAAGTATCATCCTGCCCGTGATTATTTTCGTCAACTCGAGAGTTATTGTTGACAGAGTTCCACCCGCCGGTCTACAAGTACTGGCTTTGCGCACCCCTCGACGGCGACAATTACCACTTATGTTTCATTCCATCGTTGTCATTCCTCTTGTGCGATGGTGATCAAAGCCGCTTAGCCCGTGGGCGACTTTGCGACAACTGCCTGGGCTGGCGTTCCACGACTACATCCTGCAGCTGTCTTGCCGTGTACTCGTAACATCGATCTACGAGGTGCCTCATTCGAGTGGTATTGGTTACAGCTCGCGACACCGCTTCTTAGTGCACGTTCATTCGGTCTACAATCTACGACGGGTTATTCCAAAGCAATCTGGTCCTTGCGTCTAACAGATGACCGAAAACTTTCTAAAATAGCCGTCTTCCGGACTGCATTACAGTTTGGTCTCCGATTTCGGCAATATCAACCGTATGCCCCACAGCAGCGTGAGAGCAAGGACGGTGGCTCACGCGTAAACTAGTTTATAGTGATAGTAGACACTTGCTGGACCTACCGTACTCTCCTTACCAACCTGGGCCCGGTGTCTAGACGTAGTCAGGGAGAGCAGGGGTGACTGCGCGGTCGGAGCCGCCCATAGGCCTGCAGCCGCACCCGGCTCGCACGGCGTGGGAGTGCCGTAGAGGCTACATCAAGAAGAAGCCATCGCAGCCTTACTCTCAGTCCGCCACTCCGCACAAACACTGGGCTGACTGCGAGTTCCGAGTTATCCCGTCAGTTGGCAACCACCCTAGCCAAGGACTAGCACACCGTGATACCTTCAAGCGCGTTAGATTTTTTTATGGTGAGGGAAGTGCTCGGAGTCGTCAACCTCTATTCCCATTCCCAAGCCCCAGCCACTGTTCGAGCTATCAGATGTCTGGTTTGAGGGATGGGCGCGGTGGCTTGCAGAGATGGAGAGCTCATCTGCGTGCGCCACATGCACGGCCTGGCCCTCCAAACGCACACCAGGATTTCGCACGCAAGGGGATAGAGGGCTCGGATCTTACATGCAGCAGAGGAACTCCATGGAGGGAGGAGCCGAAAAGCACCCTCCGCTTCCCTGAGGGGTGTCAGTGGTGTTGGATTTTGGAGGATGTGTGTTGGTGGGGGGGGGGGGAGGAGTTCGGTGATGCTGTTGTGTTTGCGGTGATTTACCGCAGGTTTTCATGAAGGTATTTATGATCTAAAGGCCCATGCGGTGAGTGAATGCGCATGGACAGTATGGGCATTTGGGGCGGCTGTGTGTTGGTGCTTCTGGCACGGGTCCGCTGGTCTGTGCGATGGATTCACGAGTGATCAACCAGGCTGGTGAGTTGTGCGCATGTACGGTGGCGGTGAGGGCACGATCAGTTTGGGCCTGTAAAATCGTTTGAGATGGTAAGGCTGTTAATCGTGGTCGTGCCGGTGGATGGAGAGTTGTTAATGTCGGATAGGGGAGCGTTGTCGGTTATGCAGGGTGTCGCTAATGCGGGGAGCTCCGGTTTCTCGGGTGCGCATGTGACTGAATAGGCCCATGTGGTGAGTGAATGTGTGTGTACAGTGGCCGGCGGGTGCGTTGGGCGTACGCCGGGGCTTTGGACACTGATGTACCGGTCACACTGCGATGAATTCGTAAGTAACTGACCAGGCCGATGCGTGGGACGAATGTGGGATCGCAATGAGGACACGTTGAGGGTTGTGGTGGTGAAGGTATTTGTGGCTGACGGGACGTTAAGAGCGTTTCGGTCGGCGGCAAGGGTGGTAGTTGTTGTATTTGTCTTCACCGCGGTGATTGTGGGAGAGATGAAGGAGGTGGCGGTGATCGGCGGCAGTGGGGCACGGGGATTCCGAGCAGCGGTGGAGGGTGGGCACCGTCTTGGTTGCTTCGGGGGTTGAAGCAGGGGCGGCCATAGAAGCAGCAGACGCTGTTAGTGCATTGGGTCCGAAGATGATCGACGAGGCGGATCCGCGCGTGGAGTGTTCGTTGAGAGCGCGAGCATATTGGGTGGGGTTGAGCGATGATGTTGCGTGTCAGGGCGCCTGAGACTTACGAGCCTCTCTTTTGGATTTGACACTGGCGATCCGGTTTGTCTCGTAGTTTGCTGCGACAGTCTCCTTTGCATTTCTTCAGACCGCGATCCCCTCCTGCCATCTCATCCGCAGCATTCTGCAGAGACAGCTGAGATGGAGGTGGTTGAGCTTCCCGGCATTTCTAGTGTTGACGGTCCAGGTCTCCGCTATGTACAGAAGTGTCGTCAGAATGACAGCGTTGGACATATCCAGCTTGGGGTTCAGGTGGAGGTCGTGGCGGTTACATAAGGACTTCTACAGCTGGTCGAAGGCCTAAATGGCTTTGGAGATCCGGTGAGTTACTTTGTCGTCGATTTTGATGCAGCCTGAGAGTGTAATGTCCAAGTAGGCGAAGCTGTCCAGGATCTTTAGTTTGGTGCCATTGACGTTAATGCGAGGAATCTATGCAGCATTGGTTGGCGGTTGGTGCACGGCCACCGTTTTGTCCTTGTTGATGCTCAGCCCGAAGTTGGCACAGCCAGCGACGAAGAGGTCCATGCTCCGTTGCATGTCGCCTTCGGTCGTGGCGTTGAGTGCGCAGTCATCCGCTAGAAGCAGGCCATGGACTGTAGTTATGGGGAGACGCGTTGAGGCCTACATACGCCGGTCGTTGACAAAATGCCCGTCCGTCCTGTAGGCGATGCGGATCCCGAGGTGCTCATTACGGTGGGCGTCATCATCATGGCAGAAAACACGAAGCTGAAGAGGGTAGGGACGAGTAAGCAGCCCTGCTTCGCTCCGTTGGTCACTGTAAATGCTTGAAAGACAGTCCCATTTTACGTGACACGCGCCATCCCCTTGTAGAGCTGTATGTGCGCGTAAATTATTCAGGACAGCCGATTTTCTGCATGATTTTCCACAGTCCTTGGCGACTCTTCGTGTCAAAGGCTTTCGCCAAGATCACGAAGATAGTTTAGAGGGAAGCATGAATTTTCTGGCACTTTTCTCACAGCTGGCGAGCGTCGAAGATTATGTCGGTTGATACGCGGTAACTGCGAAACCCACACTGGCTTTCCAGGATAAGTCCTTGTTCGAGGTGGCCATTGAGACGGTTGAGAAGAATACGAAGATCTTTCTGACGATGTTGAGGAGCGAGATTCCTCAGTAGTTGTCACAGAGTTACCGGTTCCCATTCTGTTTGCAGAGATGAATGATTGTCGTCTTCTTCAAATCCAGAGAACCGTCCCTGGCGCCACATATCTTGGAAGGGCATTGCGAGTTGATATATGAGCTGGGAGCCAAAGTACCTGTAGATTTCGGCCGGAATCGCGTTAGATCTCGGTGCTTACCCACCGGACAGTTGGTGCTTGCCGCGGATTGTTTCTGGCAGAGAAGGGAGCATATCCAGGTCGTCAGTTGTTTACACTTGGAGTAGTCGGTCGATGACAACGTCGGAGATTGTAGAGGGGCGGTTGAGAAAGCTTCTGAAATGCCCGGCCCAACACTTCAAAACCCGTGATTTTCCCCATCAGAGGCGTTGTTCCTTCGGAGCTGAGACGTGGCGCGGTTCCTTTGGTTGGGGGACTGTAGATCGTCTTGCGTGATACGAAGAAGTTTTTGAGTTCATTGCGGTCGGCACACACCTGGACTTCCTCGGCTTTGCGGGTCCTGCGTCTCCTCAGTCGGTGCTGCATGATGAGACTAGCGAGAGAAGGCCGCCTTGTTTGCTGCAGTCCGGTAGTTCATGTAGGCTTTGTGGAGCCGGGGGTTTTGGGCGAGCAGTTGACTGATGTCGGCGTCTTTGTCGTCGAACCGGTCCTGATTTTGATGGCGTGCGCTACCAAGGACGCCCAGAGCAGTCGTGCGGGCAACAGTCCGCAGTTGGCACCACAGTCTCCATGGTGGCGGTGTCGTCGGGGACCGACAGTTTCTCCAGTTGCTGGGTCAAATGGTTGCTGAAATCTAAGTAGTGAGCAGGCAAGTCCACCAGAACTACATTTAACCTGCCTGGCGTTCACTTACCCTGTGGTCTCC